GAGCCACAGACATTCTGTGGCTGGCCTAAGAGATGGCCTGGCATGAACAATTTTCAGGAATAATGGTGGTGTGCTGAGTCTTTCTGGTTCTCTCTCAGGAGTATCAACTGAAGGTTTGGCAAAAGTCAGACATTTGCTAACAGACCCTCAGCTGAAACGCCCTGAGACAGGAGGAAGTAGGTAAATTCAATGAAGCACTACAAGTCACAAATACGCAGAAACAAGTGCAGCAAATGCCATGAAGTCAGAGAGACTTCAGAAAAAAGAGGATTGTTAGATGGTAGTGGCTGATGGAAAGTTGAAACTGTCTAATGGCAGAGGATAATCTAGATAATCCGATTACTAGAGTTATAGTGATTGTTCCAATTACTGAATTATAATTGGGACTCAGCCAGATATTTCTATGATGTCTATGACACATGTATCCTCACAGTAACTCCCCCCCGAAATAGAGTATCTTTCCTTGTATGTCAAAGAGCCTAACACACAGTATCTGTGGTTTGTACAGCATCTTTCTTTCAGTTTCATTGAGATATAATTGACATACATCACTGTAAAAGTTTGTGTTCAGCATGATGACTTACATATGTTGTGACATGATTACTACAAGTTAACATCCATCATCTCATATAAATAGAAGAAAAAATGAATTTTCTCCTTTGATGAGATCTTTTGGAACTTATTCTCTTAGCAATTTTTAAATATGCTATACAGCAGTGTTAGCTCTAGTCCTCCTGTTGTACTTTAAATTCCCATTACTTATTTATTTTAAAAATGGAAGTTTCTACCTTTTGACCTGCTTCATCCAATTCCTCCATTCTGTATCACCCACCTCTGGTAATCACAAATCTTATCTCTTTTTCCATAAGGCTTTGTTCAGATTTCACATTTAAGTGAGATCACTTAAATGTGTATATCATACAGTATTTGTCTTTTTCTGTCTTATTTCACTTAGCATAATGTCCTCAAGGTGCATCCATGTTGTGAAAAATGGCAGAATTTCCTTATTTCTATGGCTGAATAGTATTGCATTATATATCATATATCATATGTTATATATCATATATCACGCTTTTTAAAAATCCATTCATCTACTGATAGACAATTGGGTTATTTCCATGTCCTGGCCATTGTAAATAATGCTTCTATGAACATGGAGGTGTAGACATCTGTTCTAGACAGTTTTTTTTCTTTTAGATAAATACCCAGAATGGAATTGCCAAATTGTATGGTATTTCTGATTTTAATATTTGCAGGAAGCGCCATACTGTTTTCCATAGTGGCGGTACCAGTTTATAATCCCCCCAATTGTGTATGAGGGTTCTCCTTTCTCTACATCCTTGCCAGCATTTTCTTACCTTTTTGGTGAATGGAATTCTAACAGGCATGACATGATAATCTAATTGTGATTTTGATTTGCCTTTTCATAATAATTAGTGAAGTTGAGCACCTTGTCATGTATCTGTTGGCCATCTGTATGTCTTGTTTGGAAAAATGTCTACTTAGGTCCTTTGCCCGTTTTTCAAAAGATTTTATTTATTATTTATATTTATATTTATTTTTAGAGAGCAGAAGCGAGGGAGAAAGTGGGGGAGAGAAATATCAATGTGTGGTTGCCTCTCAAGTGCCCCCTACTGGGGACCTGGCCTGAAACCCAGGCATGTGACTTGACTGGGAATGGAGCCTGTGACCCTTTGTTTCACTGGCTGGCACTCAATCCACCGAGCCACACCAATCATGGCTCCTTTGCCCATTTTTTATTGGATTATTTGTTTCTCTGTTCTTGAGTTTTATAAGTTCTTTATATATTGTGAATATTAAAACATTTTTGTCCATTCTGTAGGTTTGCTTTTTATTCAGCTGATAATTCCTTTTCCTGTGAAGGAGTTTTTTAGTTTTATGTCATCCTGCTCGTTTGTTTTTGATCCCGTTGCTTGTGCTTTACGTGTCACATCCAAAAAACTGTCACCAAGACCTACGTCAGGGAGCTTTTCTCCTAGGCTTCTTTTAAGGAGTTTTATAGTTTCAGATCATATGTTAAATCTTTAATCCATTTTTAGTTAATTTTTGTTACTGATATAAAATATAGATTCAGTTTCATTCTTTTACATCTGCATTCCTCATTGAGGATTCTTGGTTCCCTTGTCAAATGTTGGTTGAATATATATGCTTTGACTTATTTCTGAGCTCTTGGTTCTGTTCCTTCAGTTTATGTGTCTGTTTTTATGCTAGTACCATTCTGTCTAGATTAATGTAACTTTATAATATATTGCAGCTTGAAATCAGCAAGGGCCATGCCTCCTGCTTTGTCAGGATTGCTCTGACTATTCAGGGTCCTGAGTGGTTCTGTATATAATTTTGTTTGTTTTTATTGTCTAAGTGCTCTGAGTGTTTTTAGCATCAACTTCACTCCTCTCTTTCTTTGTTCCAACTAGTTGCCCTCTTTTTTGTTTCACACCCTCCACGCAGATAGACATTCATGACTCAGAGTAAAGCAGTAATAACAACAGTGAGGTCTAAACCAACCTTGCAAGTCACTGAAGAAATCCCCTGGCATAGCTTGGCACAGAATGACTGACTTTCTTATCAATTTCTCTTCATAATGAATGAATAAGAACACAACAATTTAACTCAAATATTAGGACACAGCTAAATTTAGAGTAGATTTTCTTTTCTTTCTCTATTATTAAGAAATCAACTTACTCTTATCTCTACATTCTTTCTTCCTCCATCCAAAGACAGAAACATTGCTGTACCACAGGGTCCTTTAGAGTTAAAACATCCCTGGTTTGGCAGAGATACTTTCCAAGAACAAGCACGAACACATTGGATGTTATCTGTCCACACACTTATCCTGTTGAAGGATGCGCAGAGCTCCCTGAGGCTCAGATTTGACCTGCTCCAAGTACGTAGCCTCCCTTTTCAATTGAGCATTGGCCCTTGCATGGAAGTAATTTTTTTAAATCCTTAATTGCTTCTTTGTTTTAGCATTAAAGCTTCCTTAAGTTTTAGTAGGACATATGGTTGCCCAGCTTGACATATTTACTAGCCTCCTGTGTGGCTAGGTATGACCACCGCAGGACTCAGTCTCCCTCAATAGAATATGAGTAATGTTTGCAACCTTTATGACAATTCTTTAAAAGGAAACTGCTTGCCTTCCATTTTCGCTTTGGCTGCCTTCCAGCCCCTAGTGGCATATTAGCTAACCAGCTCCACTCACGCAGTGGGCAATGTAGTAGGAAATGGCAGAGCAACAAGATGGAAGGACCTAGAGTCCTTACATGACCTGATGGAGCACAGCTGCCTGTGTGCTGGGGCTCCTCAGAGCTGTTACATGAGAGAGCAATAAATCTCTCTTTCTTCTGTGAGGTGCTCTAGGTTTGAGTTTCTCTGTTACAACAGCCTACTCTATACCCCAACCAATACAAAATGGTGGACACTGAGTGGTCAGGAACTACACTAAGTGCTGAAGAGTTGCTATGTCACTTAATTCTCTAGCAACCATCCTAAAACAGGTACTGCTTGCCCCTTTTACATGGGTGCTAGCAGGCTTGGGAAGCAAGGTGACTTGCCCAGGATCACCTGGTTTTACATGTCAGAAAGGAAACCTGGACTCAGTCTGAGGTATTTTGAAATACTCATTCTTAGTTGCCATGCCTCTTAATATTACTGCTCATTCTTTTTCTACAGAAAATATTTAAAGGATTCTTCTGCTGCTGCTTTAAAGTTTCAGTCTATTATACCTCTGAACTCCTTCTCTGCTCAGTTTGGTGCAGACTGAGGATTTTCTCCCACTCTTTAGGGTGGGGAGCAAAATGAGTATTGTTGTCTGGTTTTGAATAGATTCCTCTTGCCTTATTTATTAGATTGTAGACCCTTCAAGAGATGGTTCTAGTGACACAAATGTTGCATGAATGACAATTACATGTGTAGAGGAATAAGAGTTGTCTGTTTTCAGAATAACTCAACATTCTCTTGTGTGGTATTGCTCCAGTGGCTGTATAAAGTCTCTTGTTCATGAATCAGTTCTGGTGAAAACCACCCTTTGCTCATTTAAAATGCGCTTTTGTGGTAGCAGCGTATTTAAATAGAGGAAACATCTGAGAGAATGATTTTGGGTAAGGAACTATGCCCATTTTATTTGTCACTATAAATATAAGCAGGTGGAATTTAAAATTTTCACAGTTGCACTGTAGTCAAATGCTGGATTCATGATCATTCTCCTGTGTATGAGTTAGTAATATGTTTTCTGCAGAGTAAAAGAAAATCCTAAGTAACACTGCCTTAAATAAGATATATTATTCTAACACAAAAGAGGCTCTGAGGTGAGCAGCCAAAGACTAATCTGGTCTAATACAGTCACTGGAATCTCAGGCTCCTTCTATTTTTTCCCAAATCCACGAACATGGTTTCCATTCTAGAGGTGCCCTCGTGGTTGGCAAGAGCCAACCATGCATCAGAGCTGCAGGCAGCAAGAGAAGGGAGAGGGTAGAGGACCTTTATCTGCCTAGTCCCTTTTAAAAACCTTTTCCCGAATTTTCACTAAACAAACTTCCGCCCATTAGTTAGAACTTACCTATACCTAGTTACATAGCTGGCCAAATAAAATTAGGGTTTTGTCTTTTTTAAAACTAAGGTAAAAGGGGAAGAGTTAATGGTGGGTAGATTGCCTTGTCTTCTAATTAGAAAATTTCCACTATTCTAGATCAGGGATTGGTCAGACTATGTCTCATGACCACCAGTAGGCAGCAGAGGAGTCTGGGGTGATGAGAATATGAGTTGGGCACGTTACTGGGGCAAACAAATGCAGAATCTGTTGGAAAGGGAAAAGGGGAAGTAAGAGCGATGTGTGCTACATACAGAAGGCTCCTCACAATTAATTGGGCCACCCAGCCATTCTTACAGGCTCACCTTCCCTTTAACGTTCTTACCTGCCCCCTCCTGTCACAGTTCCTGCAATTAATTGTGTTGTTTTCACCTACTTTCATATTTTTGTCTAGGTGAGAAAACTGGAAATGAGCCTGAAGAGGTGAGGTTGCAGAAAGCCAGCAAACAGATTGTGCAGAATGCCATCCTGCAAGCTGTGCGGCAAGTCTCCCAGGAGAGCCGGCAGAGGGACGAGAGAGACAGTGATGACCGGGGCGGCTTCCAGCTAGGTGTGGGGGCATTGACCAAGAAGCGTGAAAAGAAGTAACACAGTGGATTTGGCGCTTGTCATATGCTTGTCTTCCAGACTTCCTCTTAGTATAGGATGCGTCGCCATAATGCTGCCAGTAAAGCAAACCAAAGTGTCATTGGCACCTAGCTGTAAAATGAATTCATACTAGCCCTTGGTTCAGAAGTACTGTTTTCAAAAAGTGCATTAGACGATTCTGTTTATATCAATGCAGTGCTTCTGACACCCTGTGGGGTGAAACAAGACACTGTAATTGCAAAAGTAGTTTTGCAGCACAATTTATTTTTTAAGTTCTTTTTAACAAAATAGTTGTCTTATTTATTTACTCCTCCCTTTTATGCATTCTTTCTGTGACCAGCAGTCCCTTCACCAGCAGTCCCTTTTGCTGTAATACCGAGTATAGTACTGCATTCATTATATTTTTGAAGACTTGGGAAAAAGGGAAAGAATGAAGTTTGTCACTTTCAAATATGGAGTCGAAGGTCAAATTAAGCAGAGGCAAAGTCTAACACTGAATCTTATCAAGGCATATATTTATATTACTTTTTTAAAGGGGGAGTTTAGCTTTTTAAGAACTGTCTTTTGGTTTCAGTTGTTTGATAGTTGGTGTTTACTCTCTGTGCAGAAATCATTTAGAAATGTTGTGGATTTTTTTCATCTCAAAATTAAAATACGACAAGTACATCTATGTACATAAGCTGCCAGTGACTCAGTTCCTCAGCAGCCCCATCAGTAGCCACTAGAATTGCAGATTCCACCCTAGAGATGCACTGCGGTCTGCCTCTGGGGAGCAGCGTCTCTGGAAGGGTCTGCGGGGCCTATAAATGCCGCGTTGCCATCAGCTATGCCTTTGTACTAGTGCATTGCTGATAAGAACTTTCCTTTTCCCATTCACAAATGAGAATCATTTTCTCGAGATTATGAAAATCATATGTATCAGAAATGATTAACAATTCACATGGGGAGGCCATTAAAATACAGTCTCTGAAGCATAAAAATCCAGTGGGAACAATGAAGTGACAGTGTTGCGAATGCAGTGACAGTGATGTATGTGGGCATGAATAGAGCTCCCTATTGCAGCAGTGTGACTTCTGCTTCATTTCCATGTGGATAATGCAGATCTTTCTGGAGGTTTTGGAGTCCCATTTCCTGGGCTGCATGACAGTCATTGAATTGGTGTTACTGAGTGAAGAGGAAGATTTTGACCTGTGTAATAAACTTTTGGCTTCAGAGTACCAATGGTTACATTTGATAGTTTTTTAAAAAGCCAAGTATTCGCAAATAAAGTATGACTATATTAAGACATAGTTTTAAAATTCCAATGTTACATATCTTTCAGAATGGATACTACCGATAATGATACATAAATGAACACAATCTCTTATCAGCTCTGCTACACTATCTCACCATGTACATATGGCACAAATTCATGGGGGAAATGGCTGTGGGAGAAAGCAGAGGGCTTAAAATTTAAATATGGCTTCTTCATAACATTTTTTTTTAGATTTTATTTATTTATCTTTAGAGGGGAAGGGGAGGAGAGAGGGAGAGAAATATCAATGTGTGGTCGCCTCTGGTGGGTCTCCTGCCAGGAACTGGCCTGCAACCCAGGCATGTGCCCTGCCTGGGAATCCAGCCGTGATCCTTTTGTTTGCAGGCCTGTGCTCAATCCACTGAGCTACACCAGCCAGGGCTATTCATACAAATTTTTAACACAACTCATGACAATTAAAGAATGAGTTTAAGCTGAGCTGATGGAATATCACTGATGTGACATAGCTGCACAGTGTAGACAGTAGGAATGGAGGTATTGAGGAAAATTATCCAAGAGTATTCATAAATAAAATATAAACCCATGCTTGTAGTTTGCAAGTACTTGGCACTATGTCTACGAAGCCTTTTGGATATAACCAACCTTGGACCTTGCTGTCATACGGAAACACAGAAACATGCTTTCTTTCTTCTCTGGTGTGTCTGTGCTAACACACTGGGGATCTTTGGAGACATCTGGCTAACCTCTGTATCTTAGTGTTATTTTAAATAAAATATATCCAACTTTGAAATATGTTGTCATTTTAAGCAAAAGTTTTCTGTGTACAACTGTTATGGTTCATTCTATACATGGATCTTACACTCATATGGCACCATGAGGTGTCCCAAGGCTGTTTACCACATTCCTGGATATCATGACTTGAGAAGGTGCTTCTTTAATGGACCTGCACTGTGACTGTCCGAGGAAAGCTGGGGCAAGAGAAGGACGTTTACTAAGAAGTGGCGTTGGATCTCAGAAAGTAAAGACAAGTACACCTAGGAAGTTGAGTGTATTCTGTGATCTTTCTGAGATGGAAAGTCTAAAGCAAGTAACTGAGATAAATTCTTGGAAGAAGAAAGTCTAGCAACCCCTGAACTCAGTAGGTAGGTGCCATATTAGCAGAATCCTAAAAAGCTCAGACATAAAAAGAAATATATCTGTTAAAATTTTACTGGTATCTCAGTATAAAGATAACATTATTGGATTCTGAAGGGGCCCAGAGAATGTCATCTGACATAGGATAAGGTGGGCTTCCCCTGGTTGTCATAAAATAGCACACAGCTTTTGGTTTTATGAATTAGTGGGAACACTTACTTAATGTCTTTTATCATCTTGATTTATGTGGCAAAGGCTACGTGTCCTCCCCACGCTGTGTTCACTTCTCACGTTCCATGCATCTGGAATAGAATTGAAGAGAGGTCCTCGTACGTTACTTTACTTTTCTGTGATCATCTATCCAGTGTGAACAGCATTGTAAATAGATACACAACAACTTACTGCTTTCTGGGCTTCATCCTTTTTTTTTTTCTCCTTTCTCTCCTTCTCTCTCTCGGCTACCAGTCTTCCCTTATGGTGGAAGGGAATAAATAAATCAATTTTATTTATTTATCAGTTTTAAATAACTCAATCAACCATGTAAAAATTCTCATTGAATTTATGCCATTCAAGGTATTTTCAAAGGTTTAGGTCTCTGTGCAAACCAACACAACAGAAGAGGGAATTTTTAATTCATCCGCTGTAATAGCTACTGCAGTAAAACACAGTAGAGAATGAAATCTCTGTAAAATCTGGTAACTAGTTTTGCCATCATATTACCCGAATGCTAAAGACTAACATGCATGGATAAAGTGGAAGCTGCAATAATAATACCTTTCTCAAAGGTGAGAAAGTTTTCTAAAATCTATTATTACAATGACCTCATTTGTCTCCTCCCAATAAGGTGCAGCCAGGATGGTCTCATTCTCCTGTTGCAGATGACATCACACTGAATCCCAGAGGGAATAAGAACAGGGTGGGGTGAAAGGAAGTTTATATGGAAAGTAATACAATATTTAATAGGTAATAATACAAGAATAAACTGTGTGTTTGGCATACTCACAACTGTAAATCTACTTTTGCCTCACCGTGCACATCCTAGGCGGTGAAAAGTGAGTACTGTGGGGCACAAGAATCCATGAATCACTGATCTCAAACTTTGTGAGGAAACATGTGAATTACCAAATAAATTCTAGGAATAGCTGTATTAAGATGGAAGAATAACACTGCCTTAAAGAATACCTTTTTGTGTAAGAAAGGTAACATAAGCAGTCAAGAGCCAACAAAAAACAATCGTCAGTAGAAAAGGCTCAATCCATTGCCTGGCAAGGATTGACCAGGTATGAGTGCTCAGGAAAGAACAGCACCTCCAGAGGAAAGCTGGACAATGCCACAGCAGGGCACGCGGCAGTCCTCCTCTTCCTTCTGCTCCTTGGGAGCCACAGAGGTTAAGTCCACTGAATCCTGACCCCGTGTGGAGAAAGATGAATGAGTGGGTGATTTTTTTCATTTGTCTTTTGGCTACAGTGTGATGAAAATGACTGTTGGAAAGAAATAGAGGAAATAGGAAAGGGACTTCTCTCAGAAGTAATAGGCTCCTTTCACAGAAATGAAGAAAGGCAAGACAGAGAAAGTCCATATTTTAAAAATCCCCTCCTCATATTCTAGGAAAATGGATACAAAATGCTCAACAGCAACACTTCCAGAATAAAGAAATAATTCTTTAAACTTCTAGGCTTAGAGTGAGTCATTTACAAAGGTGTTAGTTCAGGCTGGCATCAGACAACTCGCGGCAACATCGAATATGCTAATATAAGGGAAAAAGAGGCTACAAAGCAGCTCTGAAGGAAGTGCGAAGTAAGGGTATTATTACCAGCTAAGATGTCACTCAAGAATAAAGATAAGCAATAAAAACAATAATTCTTAAGTGTTACCAGTACTCAAGGGCCTTTCTTGAAAAAAAAAAAAACAAAAAAAACCTACTTAACCATGAACTTCAGACCACTGAAACATAAATCAAAATAATGTAGCAATGGGGGGGGGGGCTGTGGCCAAAGGAGTGGTGAGGAGCAGTGCCTTTGCTTAAATATAAAGTGAATATGACTTAACTGTAAAAATTAGGCTAAAGTAAAGAATGTAAATTATTACATCTTGAGAATATAAAAATATAACAAAAAAATCAGGTGGTGGGGCAAAGAAAATTACATTATGCAAATGACTTAATCTATTAGAGAAAAGAGAAATGATATGATCTTAAGTTGGGTGACCTAGTTAAAAAGCCCCAAGGTTACTAACCTCTTAGTGGATTTTGTAGTCTCTTTTCTTAACCTTAGGGGAGGGTATTGGAAAAATAAAATCTTATAATCAAGATTTATTTAAAGTTTACCCATCCCCTTAGTTTCCATTTAGTTTTTTTCTTTCATGAAATTAAAAATCAATTGTCATATATATATATATATATATATATATAAAACCTACATATAGTTTTGTGTATGATGCCTGATGCCATTCATGACCACTATTTACTTACTCTTTTGCTTAGGCTGGGCAGGAAGACTTTTACACAACATGAAGACCCAGGGTGATCTTCCACTGCGAAAAGTGATTCCTTTGATTATTAGACTTGGGCCATGGATGGCCCATAGTCTAATTAATAAGTGAGAGGGAGAAAACCTTTATCTCTATAGTGCTCTTCAGTTTTTAAAGGAAATGACTGTTGTACAGTAGATCCTCTCCTAGTTGATTTCTGCTCAGCCAATTAACCAGTGCTTCCCCCTCATGCCTAGACCTGGTATCCAAGAACTGATTCTCTTGCATAGCCTTGTACTAATGATCCACTGAGTTAGATGTGTAGCCACTGTTGGCGGCCATCCATATGCCCTCAGCATTTGCCATTCCCCATGCAGAGATGGCTTCTTACTGCAAACGCCTGTCACTTTAGGCCTGTGGGCTTTTTCTGGCTCTAGCTGTGTGCTCGCTCAGTCCACATAACTGGTGGGCTGGAAGCACCAGGGAGCTGAGTTCCCAAGTGTAACTCTCTAATGATGATTAATGGAAGCTGGTGCTTAAGTACGCCAGCCCCCAGCCTCTCAGGTGGACGCTGCAGCACGGTCCACTGTGGGGGCAACTTTCCTTGCAAGTCCTCCCGTGTGCCACAGATGAAAGCAAACATGACAGAGACATGAAGTGATGTGCTTGGGGAGGACAGGTGGCCAGTTTCTCAGTGGAAAAAGGCCATGAGCCCCTTCCACGGCTTTTTGGGGTTGTAATACACAGGAATACAGGGCAGCCAGGATCAAACAGTAGACAACATTTCAAAGAAATCTGAGGGCTTAGTCTGAGGAAGAGTCTGTCAGGAAGAGTTTTAGGGTTTCCTGCTCAAACCCTTAACATATAAATGAAAGCACTATTAGCAAAGCAGATTTCACAGGTTTATCAGGAAGTCTTTGTGATGCCAGGTTTTTCCCCAGGACACGCTCTAGCAAGGCAAGGAGCTGCACCTGTCCCCAACAGGTATTCAGGCTTAAGGGGATTAGAGCCAGGAGGAGCTTCTCTCAGAGAACTTGGGGACTCTGGCTATGTCACAGTCCAGGGTGGGGGGCGAGAGTCCATCACTCCCTGTTTGTTGCAGCCCCCCCCCCCACAGTCCTTCCATGACAGCCTCCCAAGTGGTCGAGTCTGGCTTAGGTTGCTCCCTGCTGTGAGGAGACTTACCCATCAAGGACTCCAACCATGCTTTGGGGGCAGAGAGGAAACTGAGTCATCCTTTGATACCAGAGACAAACTTTGTCTCCTGTGGCTCGCATTCCAGGGGTCGCTCGCTCATCCTTAGCCACGGGGGTGGGGGTAGAGTTACAATTCCTAGAACCAGGCAGAGCGGTCCACAACAGCCCACAGACTCCTAGCAGTAGCCAGCCCGATCAGTCCCAGGTGTGCACACCCCTGCCCTTTGCTCCTTCACTTCGCCCTCTTCCTACTGATGTGCCCTAGGGTGAGCTCCCAAATGCACTATTTTCACTCAGATTCTTGTGTCCCGGTCTACTTCTCAGTGGACCAAACTTAAGACAGTAATATTACAGTTGTTTCCCATCAAGGAAATCTGAGGTTACTCATGACGTGTTTTGTTGCAGGGAAATTGGGCCAGTCCTTCTGCAGAGGCAGTCTGCCCCAGCCGGTACTGAGCAGCAGTGGGCTTTTCAAAACCAATCCCCAAAGTAACAGACCGTGAGTCAGTTAAAAACCAGATGTGCTGTGTGTTTTTAATTTTTTATGGATATGCTGATTGTCTTGAGATTGATTTGTCTCAGCTCTGTTTTCTATGTTGACTGATGTATAACTGCTGGATCCACGTAAACATCAAAAGAACAGGTGCCAGAAGCTTCTTCGTTAATGAAAAGTAGTTGAGAAAGATTGCCAGGTCATACAATTTATGAATCTAAAGAATTGATGTTTAACAAACAGGAAACAAATTTTAATACCAATAATTTTGGCAGTACCTTTCTGGCTGAAATTAACTTGTGGGGGACAAGTCTTGGGAGAGAGTGATCATTTAAGTTTCATTTACAGTTTTGCTTATGGTTTACAAATAAAGGTTGCCCTTTGAAAACCAGGGCAATAAATTCATGAATGGCTATGATTTGCTTCTGGTTTTTAAAAAGTTCAAAGGTCATGGAAAAAGGCAGTACTTTC